AATAGTCGAGGGATTTTAAGATTAATACTCTATAGTTAGAAGATCATTTTTATACTTTACCCCAAGAATTTAATATGTATGGTACGTGTGAATACAACATAAAATTTAACTATTCGATGGACATCAATTATTGAAGGACTGATGAAGATATATAAAATTAATTTTTTTTAACAATTAAACTGTTAAAAAATTCAATATGATTGTATTTACAAAGCATAATAACGTTTTGAGTCGATAGGTTTTATCACGTAATCTTTTATCAGTCTAATTGTGTTTAAGCTTATACAAACAATCTCCTCTCTTAATATCCAAATTTTATCATTTTAAGAGAAAATCTGATCATTCAGAGGAATGAATTATGGTTCAATATTGAGAGGGATTAAATTGTTTACTTTTGAAAGAATAGAGACTTGTTAAATATTCGATTTCGAAATAAAATTTTAAATAATTAAGTGTTCTAATCGATAAATTAAAAATATCGATAGCTAAAACGAAATTCATCCATAATTAACCGGTGATGGGTGTAGTTTATCCTTGAAATAAAAAAGGTGTGGGAAAGACATAAAGCAGTTCAGAGTCCCTAGACCATTTCTTTGTGACGAAAACAATCAGGAACACCCATTAGTCAGCACCATGTGAAAGATCAAGAGAGGCTTTAATTATTTCTTTAATTTTAAGCATTGAAAAATACATTAGATTATAATTTAATTTAAATCATAAACCTTGATTCATGCAAAAACACTTCTTCCAACTCACAGTGTCTTGGGGGAATGAATCTAAAAACCTATTCCGGAATTAAATATTATTTAATTAAATATTATGCGAAGGCAGGGACGGACGTAAAATTTTATGTTTTGAGGGCGAATTTGAACTTTTAAAATTTCAGGGGGCGAACTTGAACTTATAAAATTTTAGAGAGACAAAATCAAATTTTTAATAAAAAACACATAAATAAAATCTAAAATATATTATAATTTTAGATTTTCAGAGAGTACCGCCCCACCTAGATCTATCCTTGTGTAAAGGATTGTTTCTGTTGTTAGTTAATGGAAGTTGCTTCCTGTACATATTTCTAACCATATTATGAAATTAAATAGTTAAATAATGTAAAGCCCGGAAAAAGCAAGCAAATCCATGTTCCTAAGTATTTTTTATTAATTAATTTTGCCCCACAGACAAGTAATTAATTAAAGATGGCTTTGGTCTTTTCAAATATTTTTATTATTATAATGGAAATATTATTATTATATAATTCATAGACCTTTTCTGCTTTAATGTCAAGTTAAGAAAAAAAATGCAATTTGAACTTTTTTTATGCATTTAATGAGTTGAATTTCTTTTTTTATAAATAAAATTTATATTTTTTATATTCTTTTTTTAAAAAAATTCTACTAAAATATGTTGGTTTTAATGAGATATGATAATAGATCACTAACTTCAACCATTGTTCGCTAAGATAAATGGATAAAATAAGAAGAAAAAAAGACTGAGCTTTTGATTCAATAATTTACAATTTATTCTAGGTCAAGTCTTAATGTTTTTTTAGTTAAATATAATTTTTCAGATTATATTTAATGAAACATCATTTTTTTTAAAATTATATTTTTTTAACAAATTTGTCAAAAATATTATATTTAGATATCACTTAACATTTTTAAACAAATTTATCATAAAATTTACAAACTTTATAAAATAAGATCAGGTTAAAACAACTCTAGAAAATGTAGGAGGCAAACAAAAATTATATAATTTTAGTTATCAATTAAAAGGACTAAAATGAAATTTGAGGAAACATTGTAGGGCTCAAAGGAAATTTGACAAATTTTAGGGGCCCGGTCCTTGCCAACCTTTTAGATTCGCCCCTGAAACTGGTCATAAATTAATGAGAGTACAATTAATCAAATGTTTAGAGCTGGATGGTTAATGATCGGAGCCATGCATGCATGGCAACGTGGCGCGTGATCATAAGATCCAAAACATGCCAATTGTGCATGCCATCTTGTCAGTTTGATCCATCATCATGTATCCATTATACAAGCGCTTAATTTCGAGGTACAAACAAAGTACAGCAATAAACTAATTTGATTTGTGATATTAGAACGGATACTACTTTGTAATCTCTATGTTCTAAGGCTTTGTCTTGACTAATTCAGATCGACCTGCATCGCACACCTGATTTTAGAGAGTGAGTTTCCCTGTAGGAATTTTTTGCATATACAAAAACTCGAACTCGAGATTTTACTTAAAAGATATCAAATTGTTTACCACTTAAATTAACCCTGTTGATTAATTTATGCGCCATTCTTTAATCCTTAATAGCCGAGGCCTTCCCAAACTAACGATAACAATGAAAAGGAGAGAGAAGAAGTTGGGATATAATAAAATAATGGAGTTGACAAATCAATGATAAGGGATAAGCTTAGTTCATTACGATTACAGTTATAATAAAGAGTGTTTGACCTTGTTTTGCTTAACCCTTAAACTACGCCCACTGCATGATTAACAGTGCATCTATTCATGGGGAAGGTAGTGCCGGCTACACCCCACAAGATATAGGGGATACCGATGCAAATGTTGGGCTCGGCAAAGGTTTCAATTACAAGTAACAAACAAATTAGAATCCTCTACCCTTTCTTCATACCACATTCTAATTTAAAAAAATAAAATAAAATGTATATTCTTATATATAAGGGTGGAAAAGATGGACCGAGGGCATTAATACGGTTGTATCTAGGGATGGGCATGGGTCGGGTTGGGTGGGGTTTTTAGTCCACTCGACCCGACCCGAGAATAAGGAATCCTCCACCCGAGACCCGACTCGATATATAACTTAAAATCCGACCCGATCCGAAATAATAAAAAAATTATTTTTATTCAATAAAAATAGTGACTTAATTGAAAAAAAATAATATATAGAGGGGTTTTATTATAATTATTCCTAAATATATAAGATAAAAATATATTTTTTCGGGTCGGGTCGGGTATTTTTCACCCTAAACCCGAGTCCGACCCGACCGAACATAACATTAAAAAACCCGACCTGGACCCAAATTTAAAAAAAAAAATCTGACCCGATCAGGTCGGAACCCGTCGGGTTCGAGTCCCATGCCCATCCTTAATTGTATCTTTAAAAAAATTTAAATTCTTATATAAATTAAGTTTTCCTTTTATATATTTTATTGGTAATCTCGAATCCATACCTATTGATGAATAAGTATGACAAAAAAATCCGAACTCGACGGGGAAAACCGAATTAAACGGGGATATGGAAAAACCGTTTATGCTAAACGGGAACGGGGACGGGAAAAACCGTTTATGCTAAATGGGGACGGGAACGAGAACGGGTTTGGTAATCCCCGCCCCGATTATCCGATTACCCGCCCCGATACCCGACCCGATACCCAACCCGATAAATATTAAAAATAATAATTATATATATATATATATATAATATTAATAAATTTAATTTAAATTAAAAAAATATATAATATTTATATATTTAATTTATATATATATATACCCGGCCCAATATCCGACCCGATACCCGTTTAAATAACCGTTTATGCTAAACGGGGATACCCGTTTCCCCGCAGTTTTCCCCGATTACCCGATGGGAATCCCCGTTTAAATTCCCGCGATTTTTTAAGCGAAAACGGGTATGAGTTTTTTAAACGGGAACGGGGACGGGAACCAATACCCGGCCCGTTGCCATCCCTATTGATGAACCATTTGTTGGTGTGAGGAGATGTGCCCCTAAATTTTTTGGTAGAATACCATTTTTTTATCCTTGATAGTTCAAATATTAGTAAAATAAGGTCTTTGTCCTCTAAATTTTTAAATTTAAATACTCAACAGATCCTTATTCCTTCCGATGTTTGATCTTGACCCAATCCTTGTTCATGCCCTTAATTTATTATATATATATATATATAAGAATTTACATTTCTGACATAAAATTCTACACCCGATTATGAAAAAAAATTGAAAAACAAAAATAATTGCAAGTAAATTAATTTGGAAATTGAATAAAGAATTGCAGATGAATGAAGCATAATGACACTTGGCATATGGATTATATTATGGGGAAAGTAAGACTTTGGTACAATAGGGACCAATATTTGGATACGTGAACCCAGTTCCACACATTTGGAAGAGCATTATCATATTCATTCCATAAACTTGAAGGATGATTGGTACGTGCCATAAACTAAATTAGATAATGTATTATTAAATTATTTTTATAAAAAAATTATAATTCAATGATAATCAATTCCATAAAAACTAGATCGAAAAATGTTTGGTACTTATTTTAGTTCTTATGCTATAGTGAGATTTTCACTTTAATCATTTTATTTTTTTGGTATAACATATAATATCTCATCTATTAATTCATCCAAGCAAAAGTTTAATATGAGGACGACGTTTTCAGCTCAATTTACTCTATTCAGTAACAGATGACATAGAACTTGGAGTGGACGTTCTTTGAACTTCTTTATGTTAGTTGTTCATTTCACTGAAGTTACCCACCTTGAAATTTTAGTTGTGTTCACTCTATACAAAAAGTTTTCATTTTTAATACATACGTTCCCACCCTGAATAATATTTCTGGATCCGCCACTGACTCCGTTCACAATAATATTAAAATTTGAATCCCTAATATTGTTTAAAGAATCTAGTATATCATCCCGCTAGATTAACTGATTATTGATACCATTCTATTTTTTATTGATTACCGATCGATGACTTCATCTCAAACATTGACCTGCTGGTTTTTATCTATTTAATTAATATGTACTGTTTCACCGTCCCATTCGTCACCCCAACGGCTACTTGGAGAAAAAATAATAATGGTTGATTATGGCGGGAAAGCTTGATTTAGCTTTGCTATAAATAGGGCCATTCCTCTTCCCCTTTCAACCACAAAAACTGCAGACTTAGCTAAGCATTCCTATTCATCTTTTTAGCACTACTTCTCATTACCTTTTCTTCCCATCATTTTAATGGCAGTTCCTGTGATTGATTTCTCTAAGCTCAATGGTGATGACAGGGCCAAAACTTTGGCTCAGATCGCAAATGCATGCCAAGAATGGGGTTTTTTTCAGGTACACTTTTCTTATCATTGACTATGGGAAGGGAATTTGGGATTTGTTTTGGTTTATCTGTGTATTCAAATTGTAAAATTATGAACTTTGTGTTGCAGCTGGTGAACCATGGAATCTCAGTGGAGTTGCTGGAGAGGGTGAAGAAGGTGTCATCTGAGTTTTATAAGCTGGAACGTGAAGAGAATTTCAACAAGTCCAAGGTAGTGGAGTTGTTGGATGAGAGTGGTGAATTATTGGAGGATGCTGATTGGGAAGATGTTGTTACTCTGTTGGATGATAATGAATGGCCATCCAAAACACCTGGATTCCAGTAAGCATTTCATGTTTGATCTGTGCTTGCATGTGTATGGTAATGTATGATGTGAATTGTTGATGTTTGTTATGGCAGGGAAACATTGAAGGATTATAGGTTTGAGTTGAAGAAATTAGCTGAGAAGGTGATGCAAGTTATGGATGAAAACTTGGGATTACCAAATGGATACATCAAGAAGGCATTCAATGATGGAGATGGTGATAATGCCTTCTTTGGAACCAAGGTTAGTCATTACCCACCATGTCCTAAACCTGAGAAGGTGAAGGGTCTTCGAGCTCACACCGACGCTGGCGGCGTGATCTTACTCTTCCAAGACGACAAGGTGGGGGGACTTCAAGTCTTGAAAGATGGGGAATGGATCGATGTTCAGCCTTTGCCAAACGCCATAGTCATCAACACCGGTGATCAGATAGAGGTCCTCAGCAATGGTCGATACAAGAGTGCTTGGCACCGAGTTTTGAGCTACGTTGATGGGAATAGGAGATCGATCGCTTCGTTTTACAATCCGTCTTTGAAAGCCACCATTGCTCCTGCACCACATCTGGTGGAGAAAACAAACCAACAAGAGGGAGAAACTTATCCCAAGTTTGTTTTTGGTGATTATATGTCTGTTTATGTTCAGCAGAAGTTCCTCCCAAAGGAACCAAGGTTCCAAGCTGTCAGGGCCATGTAATAGCAAGCAGATACATAAAGAAGCTCAAACCTGAAATAATGAGTTTCTTTTTTTCTCTTTTGATTGGCTGAAAAAGGAGAGCCCCTTCTTTCCTGGAAAATAAAACTGCAGGAAAGGATATAGAGAGAGCTCAAGGAAGTATACAATATTTTATTAAGAATTTCTACTCTTTATTTTAAGAAACGGCAGTGAGCTTTTGACATCTTTATATACGTATAGGTTCTCCTGTTTCTCTTTACTTAACTTCACATTATTTCTATTAAAGTAGATGCCTGTAGAACATGTACCACATGCGTCTCAATACAACATATAGAGGGCAAAAAAGTATTTTTTTTTCTTTCTAATTTATTATACAGAAACTTCCTCTGCATGGACCTATGGGAATATTTTCAACATCATGGAAACTTCCTCTGTAACTCTTCACATACCATTCCCCCATGATACTGCATAAATATACAGGCAGGAAGTACCAGAGAGAAGTCCATGTAAGAGTTTGCGGATAAATTACAAGTTTGATACAGAACACTATCTGATCAGATTCCTTCACAAAATAAAATAATATATATAAGTTGACCAAATTTACTTTTATGGGGAAGCATAAGTTGGTAATGAATAGCAATCAGACTGTGTGTTGAACCCTTTTTTTACTCCTTCCAATTTATATATGTACATCAATTTACATGGTTGTTCAACCTACCTTGAGGATGAAGATACTAGCTACTCAGTGTCATACGCCTTCGAGGGTTTTTCGATCCAATCTCTCATTCCAGTTCAGGCAGCGAATCAAGATGTGAAACCAATCACCTGTTTGGTCAGATTTATATATTGACAGTTGGTAGGGGGTGCTGGCTCATAGATATTCTGACCGAATGCCCTCGAGAGAGTTGTTGCCTTCTCTTCCCGCTGAAAGAAACCCAAGCATTGCTTCTAGCATCGTCAGGGATCTGTGAAACCAACAACAATGTTTCAGTGCTTTACATAGAATTTGGTAACCTGACTAAGAATTTTACTTCAGATACAAATGGTGTGATGTTAACTTCAGAGAACTCGGACAAGTTGTGCCATATTCATACAATTCGATTATGCCAACAAATGACCTCCGTCGTTCAAATGGAAACCCACAACTATCCACCAGGCCATAACCATATTAGATGGGGGATAGTTCTAAAATGAACTATGAATGGTATATTGGTATTTTTCATGCGAATAATTTTACCTTCAATTCAAGCTTTGCAGAATCTGGAAGTATAACTGGTCTAAATGAGAGGGAATGCGGGCAGATAGGTGTAAAAAGCATGCAAGGAACATTTGGATGAACCTGGATTAGCAATGGTATGTTGTTAGTTACAGAATAACCATGATACTCAAGATGATCATGTAGAATAAACCTGGTCTTTTTGAAAACTTGAAAATACAACCTACCATGGAACCTCCTGCAGCTGTAGAATTAGCAGTACTCCCCGTTGGTGTGGCTACTATGACTCCATCGCCTTGCACCTAAAGGCATATTTTTAATTAAACAAAAGCATAGGGAAGTCACAAAAGATTGACCATCTCTAAAGTTACATAAGATATATCATTTACAGCCTAGAATAAACTGCCACTGTTGTGGTAACAACAGGTGTCCGAATTACTTATAATCCAAAATGACAGCTAGAAGCCTAGAACTCACTTTTACGTGACAATTGAGGCATAAATTTTCTTTCCTTTTCTTTTCCTAGAAAATAATTAACCAACCTTTGTTATGAGTCGGTCATGCTCATAACATTCAACCTTAGAAAGGTATGGATTAGAACCCCGATCCACAACAACCTCATTTAGGACATCAAATATTTTCCCCGGAACTGGTTTACCATTTCGAAAAATTTCACATCGTAAGCGCATTCTAAGAGTTATATAAACACCATCTGCTGCGTTATTACCATGGATGGCCTGCTTCAAGTCTTCCCTGTAGTCTTCAAACTATATCAATCATAAAAGGTAGAAAAAAGTTCAACAAACGGGAAATTATTAGGACACTCGATATCCATGAAAAAGATCACAAAAAGTGAGAAACGTACAGTGTGGGAAGTGAGAAATTAAAGAGATCCAAGATTAAATGATACAACAGGAGGTACAGCACCTCTAAATAAATTTGATGCATGCAATATAACCCCATCTCCACCCAAGCATGCCACAAAATCAACCCTCTCATGAAGATCATTTCAAAATAGCGTAAGATCAAGTAGGATTCCAATCAGGTTTGAGGAACACAATATTATCAACTTTATGGAAAAATAAATCATAAAGTACCTGGTATCTTGACTATAGAAGGTTTGAACAAATCCAAATCCAGGGATTCTAGCAAAAATGTCATGGACATCAGGTTCAACAAGAACATTCATGTTCTCTTGATAATGAAAGAAAGAAGCAACCTGCGCATCAAACACAAAAATTGCAGTTACAACTGCTATGTATCAAACAGGCAACTTTGAGAGTGATTCTTCATTTTGATTTATAATATCTCCCTAGAAGATGTTTCCACACCTTACCTTCAACAACAAGCCAACATACACACCTCTTCTAACTAATTTCAACACTAAATACTGAGATCATTCAAGTTACTGCTAATTGAAGTAATCAATGCACCAACAACAAAAACAGGACTTAAATTGAATGATTGGATCAACTCAAATAAGACCCTAATAAGTGAAACAATTCAAGCAAGTAACCTTGGGGGCTATAAATCTCTATATTCTGCATCATAAACATCTCCTCTTCTGACTAGTTCCAGCACTAAATACTGAAATCGCTCAAGAAGTTCCTGATAATTGGAGTAACCAATGCATCAACAACAAAAACAATACTTAAATAGAATCAACTTAAATAAGACTCCAATAATTGAAACAATTCAAGCATGTAAACTTGAGGCTTTTAAATGTCTATAATCTACATCAAAAGCATACCCCCTTTTCTGACTAATTCCAGCACTAAATACTGAAATCGTTCTAGAAGTTCATGATAATTGGAGTAATCAACGCACCACCAACAAAAAGAGGACTTAAATTGAATCAACGCAAATAAGGCCCTACTAAGTGAAACAATTCAAGCATGTAAACTTGAGGGCTATAAATGCCAATATTTTGCATCCTAAACTATAAGTGCTATCTCAGTGTGATTCAGTTTCAGATTATACTACCATATACACTGAGACAAATGAAAACTTGCTGAAACAGAAACATTCTGGTAAATCATCAATGTTCAAGGAGGCAATTATTGGCATTTACAGACTATTTAACAAATAATATCTTCAAATTCTACCTCTTTAGCTTCTTCCATTAGTTCAGGCCCCAGCTTCTTTAATAGTAATACAGTCTTTGGTGTAGACCTCCACATAAGCATCTGTTGTTGAGTGCTAGGATGGGTGAAGGCCAAGGAGGATTCAGTCACCTTCTCCCTGGTACAAGAGAATCCATCCGTCCGCACTAAAAGCATCTCTGCTTTCTTCCTCGACTGCACTCTTAATCCACCAGTTGCAGAAGCGCACATATTTCCCTCAATTGACCCCAATTCGTCATCATTGAATATGTAGGGGCCTTACCATTGCTCATCTCGCTCTTGCTAGAAGAGGAAGATGTCATGTGCTCACTTAAATTCCCATCTAAAGTTGCAACTTTGGTTTCAGTCATGGAATGTTGTTCCCCTTGAAGAGATGTGTTCACATTTGGGATACTGGAAGCATAACTAGAACCATTCATGCGCACCCCACTCCCAGTATTACTGCTCTTATGTCCTTGAGATGGACTTTTAGCACTAGATATTCCATTAGAATTTCTTATCTCTGAAAGCAATTATTAGGTATTAGCATGAACCACCTCACTTCTCCATGTTGATGTGATAGAAGTCTCTCTTGAAACATGTTTCACTCTTTTTAGCTGACGATTTAAATATGTTTCAGGAGAGATATTTTTACCCAAAAACCTTGACATTTATTTTCTTGAGAAAACATTGCAAGGAGGAATCTGCGCCTTTAGAGGATCGACAGTCTTATAGATGTTAATCATTGTTCCTTCTGCATCAACAACTGCTTCCCCATATGTCATAACTCATAACTTGGATAGAAACAAGGTTTTTGATAAAAATGGGAGGCCTTGTTAAAAACCCTTCATACCCATTAAGCTATGAAGATAGCTTAATGGACATTGAAAGGAGGAAAAGAGTCCCTCAAAATTTTATTCCTTAAATACCAAGTACATCAAGAGTTCATTACAACCATACACAACCAAAATACAACCTAAAAAATGACCAACAATCTGTTGGCATATCATAAAAAATCATATCCCTAACTTAACAAGACTTGCCCCACCTTATAAAACAACCCAAATATCCTATACACAATAAAATAGTAGGCTGAACTACAAACAATTACCCAATTCTCGACTTTGCAAACTCATCAGCCTTCCAATTGCAACATCTCTAAATATGCCTTACAATTATATTTTTATTCACCGCCACTAAATTTCCTTGACCAAAGATTCAAACAAAGTTGGGCAAGAACAAGTACTTTTGATGCACTCCAAGACCTTCAAACAATTCGATTCCAAAATCAATCTTCTTTTAGATCCCCACTCCTTCTCAAAGAAAAAACTTAATCTTGTTTTAATTGCAAGCAGTTCAGCCAAAATAAGACGTGTAACATCCCAAACTACGGGTTAGTGATTAAATTGTAAAATTTCAGAAATTGGGGATAAAAGTATAATAGTTTAATAATTCAATGATTTATGTGGAGATATTTCCTGAAAATTGTTAGTAAATATTAAAGGAGTCAAAGGGCAAATGAGTCATTTAACAAGAAAAATAATTAAATAATAATTAGTGGATATTATAATACCAATGTGATGCATGTTTGAAGAGATAAGTTTCTAAACTTCTTCATCTTCTTCTCTTCTCCACGTGAAAGTTCAAGCAAAAGGTAAGTTTCATCATTAGTTGATTATTTGTTCAATTAAAGGTTGGGTTTTGATCCTTAGATGATAATTAAGTTTAAGGAAAGCTTAATTTATCTTAAAATTAAGAGATTAAGAAGTTACGAAAGATTAAAGAAAATGAGT